CACACACACACACACACACACACACACACACACACACACACACACACACACACAAACACACAAACACACACACAAATACATATATATTGGCTCAGTGAAAAGGAAAATGTGCTGGCCAGAGCCTTGAGTTTTTCAAACATGGCATCACTGAATCACTGAGTGGCCAGTCTTCAGCTTCCATGTGGGTGTGTCTAGGCTCTGAAGGGGAAACTGCTTGTCAGTCCAAGACACACCAGTGAATTAAGAAATGCTGTCTTTTGGCATCTTTGAATCGGGATTCTGGAACAAGGCGCCTGGATACAGGAGTGATGAATATTTAGATTTGAACTTTGCACCATAGTCAATAGGGGAAAATTTGCACAGTGGGTGTATTACTGAATTTTTATGTGTCCCTGGAGCATTGCTCATTCAGGGGATGTGCAAGGAACCTCCAACTCTTCTCAGAACTCGCCTTTTAGTTCACTTTCATTATTTGTTTTTCTGGGAAGCAAAGGTCAAACTTGTTCTATTTCCACCACGGCACCTACACGGGGGATGTCAGAGTGCTACAGAGCCCAGGACCTTCCCTGTACTTCACCAAAGCCTGGGGGACGCCAGACAGTCCCCTTTGCACAGGGACTTTGGAAATTTTGTTAGGGTTCTGTGTGTGTGTGTGTGTGTGTGTGTGTGTGTGTGTGTGTGTGTGTGTGCATATCGCCAGCTCTTTTTCACTCGGTCTTTATTTTAAGACCACCTATTAATTCCCCCCTCAGGATCTGCAATGGTCTCTACTCCGCCAAACAATGTCTTTCTGAAGATAAAAGATGCCAATGTAGTGTGAAAAAAGAAGAGCCCTGGTTTCTTTTTCTTTTCCCCCCAGAGGCCTTATTTATGGGTTTCAGATGGTGGCAGGGATATTTATATGAACCTTACCCAAACTGCCTGAACCTCCTGGGTCTGTAGCTATCAGGCTGCGAATTTCACGAGAACAGAACTTTTCTTCCAGGAGGGAGGAGGGGTAGCTGAGATTTCCTGTACTTCCTGTTTTAATGTTGCTGGAATTGAGACAAAAACTGTATTTCAGGATTTCAAAACCTGGTCCCTGCTGGAGTCTGGACACGCAGATGTACACAGAGAAGGAACACGTAGGTTCATATGGTCACATGTACACCAGTGAACCTATCACGAGAAGCATGCTGGGTACTCACAAAAAATAATATTTAAACCAGGCACCCAGGACTTTCCATTTCAAATAAATCAGGATCAAATTCCAAAACATTTCATAAGTGCATCAAAGTTTCCAAACCAAACCAAACCAAACAATGATCTGATTTGGGGCATTATTATTTTATCCAGATCTGTCTGCTCATCATACCTAGGAGACCTCGGGGGACAGAGGCTGAAACAAAGAAAGTGACCCCAGCTGCCCCACCTGTA